GAGGGTTGAATGTATAGATATAGGTTTGTATGTATAATGGTGCCTCAGCTGGTTTTTTCTCTTCTAACCTAGTATAAGGAAGAGGAGAGCTTCCTTTATAGGCAAAACAAAGTGTAAAGCTTCTTGAGGAAGCTAAATAAGGGTGCATATCCTCCATACACGTGTATGGAGGATCCATTCTGTGCCCTCCAGCTGGCACAGCTGGCATACACTCTATCTGTAGAATGCTCCGGAAGGTCGTCGGCTAGCAAAAATTGCCGGTCAGCAAAATAAAGTGCCGGTCGGCACAATAAATTTCCGGTCGGATAAATATAGTGCCGGTGGATGGCCGGTAAGGTCAAAAAATGGCCGGTTGCTGTTCAAATTGAAGCACCGGAAGTTAGCTTTCCAATGGCGCAAACCTTGCATTAAAATTCCTCCTGTGGAAAAAGTTATACCCTTTTCCGTGAAGCCGCGCAGATTCGATCCAACCGGGATGATGCCCGACTTCAACTGATCATATCTCCCCCACCCGGACTTGGCTCTAGGAGATTCTTGAGTGCAAAATGAAGCCCTGGAAGTCTTCTTTCCAACGATGGTGGCCTCATAGCTTAACTCCAAGTATGCAATTGAATGAGCCCGATTTAGCGAGGGCTGCTCGATTTTCTCCTGCCCGGATTCATGCCGAACTTCTCCCAAACTAGTTTTCTCCTCTCCTTTCCTCTTTTCTTCAACTCCAAAACCCTAAACAAAGTGTTTTGAAAGATTTGCCTCTCTTCTAGCCGAAGAAACTGATTCTTTGCCCTGCACATCTCTCAACACCGAGCAAACCATCAGTAGTGCCCAAGTCTTAAGGGCGGTCAAAAATGCGGTGTCTACACTTGCCAAGTGCAAAGTGTGCCATCAAACGCCACATAGCCCACTACCCACGCCATACGCACGAGCGTGTGCGTGTGCGGATGGTGCTTCACCATCCTTGCGGTGCGAGTGCACACACACTAGCTTTCACCTCACAATTTCATATTCAAATGAATATTCCATGTAGCACTTTATTAAGTGTTCCATGTTTTGCTTTCTTTCCAATGTGGGACAAAGTTTCCAAGCTTATTTCAAGCTTTCCAAAGAAAAACAAGGAAGGTTTTTAAAACACCCAAAAATTAAACTATAAATTTTAAAAACCATTTTGAAAATTCCCCAACATTATTTTCCTACATACATGTGGTAACAGGAAGGAAGCATGCATTTCATTCATTCATATGTATGAATTTGAGGTTTACATAACACTTAGTCTAATCCTTCTTTTGTTTTTACCCAATAAATTAACCTCTTCTTAGAAAACTTGAAGGACTTGGAGGTAGTGTGTCTTTTCTTTCTATTGTATATAGGATTCTTATTTTTGCCTTCGGTCATATGTAAATGTACACTTGCCTTTTTTTTATTTATTTATGCACTTCAGTTCTTAGTGATTATTATTTTATTCTAAAATATTACATGTAATTTTTATTTCCTCCTAGGTGAACATTATATGATAAAATTCTTTTATTTCAACAGAGGACTGATGCATCAACTGTGCGGAAGGAATTCACAACTCCAGATGGTAGAAAGTGCATTATAACTAAATTTCGTTGTGGATATAAATATAATTGTTATTTGAATTATTGATATTGGGATTTAACTTGCATTATTGATATAATTTGGGTTGACTTTTGTAGGTACTACTACAATAAGGTTACAAAGCAATCTAAATGGCAAATTCCTAAGGAATTGAAGGTTTCTTGGCTTGACTTGTTGCTCCCTTTTCTCTCTTTCAAAATTCCTTTTCTAATTTGCTTTTTGGTCTTATGTTTGCATGCTTGCTTTAAGGTGGCTCGTGAACAAGTTGAGAAAGAAGCTATAGCCAAAGAACATAACCAGAAATTATTACGACTTCTAATGCAATGGAAAATGTCACCATCTCTTCTGTGGAGCAATCATCTACTGCAGTAACTTCGGTTAGCTCCATCTCTTTTTCAACAATATCCGGGCTAACTTCAAGCCCAGTTGCAGTTATGCCAGTTGTTGCTGTTAATGCTGCTCCTTTGGTGGTTTCTAGATCCTTAGCCTTTCCCGTTGCACATTCTGCTGCAACAAGTGCAGTTATTACTTCTTCTGTTGGCGCAACTGTCACACCCTTATCTGCTACTTTAGTTACAACTGATACTATGCCAATGTACAGATTGCTTCTGTTGCCCTAGTTTTCTACATATCTAGTTTTGAGTTAGCACTTTGATGGTCAATTTGATTTCTTGTATATGCTTAATAATTGTTGTGCCCAGGAGGCAGAAAACAATCACACACAAGCACACAAACAAGAACACACAAAGAATTACATAGTTCGGCAAATCGCCTACATCCAAGGGCAACGGAATTCACTAAATTTGGAACAAAGAATTACACACTCTATAATTCTCTCTCCGTCTCTGCTCTGTATTCTCTCTTCAACTCACCACACAAAACTCCTCCCATTCACTACCCATTTATAGATGCAATGGGAGAGCCAAGCTGCCGACTTCATTGAGGGCAACCACCAACAACTAACAAGATTAGCCACCCTACCATGGTAGCTCAGCTGAAAATGTCTAGCTTCTTCATTTTTTTTCTTCAATCAGCAGCCATCGTTGAAAATCTGAGCAATCTTCAACAATAATTGCAAGAGTAGCTTTGAAAATTCATCATCCCATGATGTCTCAAATTCTGTGGACGGAGCTGCTATGCAGGATATTGAGGTATGGCTAGTTAAATAGAATGTGTTTGGAAGTTAACTGGACCAACTTTGTTTCAGTGGTGGCTTTCATTGGGTTGTTCTTTGTATCCTTTGTAAGGAAAAAGGCAGAGTTCAAAGTTTTGGTCACTTTCTTTTTTTCGTTTCCCTTCTGTTATTGCCCCCAGTAAGGACTTGGATGATTGCAATTAAAGGAGAACCCAAATGAAACTTGTACCAACCTGCGAAAGTGGCTCAAATTCCATGGCCTATGATGGTGAAAAAAACACTGATATCTGAAAACGTAATTTTCAAAATTTCACCAAAATTCTTGTTACAGTAGATGTAATAATAGTGTATATAACTTTTCCCTCAGCAAATACAAGTTAGAAAAAAGAAAAAAGAAAAAGAAACCTTCGTCCCTAAGCCAATATCTTGGAGCAAAAGTTACTTCAGCGCCTTGTACTTTAATTTAATAATGACTTGTATCGTTATAAAGCTAATGGTTAATATACACAAATCCTATCCAATATGGTCCTACTACACTTAAATCAAATTGTTTTTATTTTCCACCCTTGGAAATTTAAAGCTCACCTCTTAATTCTGACACAAGCACCTCACCTTCTTAGATGTGTCAATGCTTCTTAGGAGCCTTTCTTTTGCATACAAAAACTGAGAATCTTGATTGCAGTACATTCTCTGCTGGAAATATGGCTGACCTAGAGAATAACTTACAAGTGCTTTTGCTTAGTTTGGCTGCTTGTTTGACTATCATTAGTCCAGTTTTTGATGAACCATTTTCCCAAACACATTACACATGCTTGATGCAAAGGTGGCATGCATTTTGAAGAATGAATACTTAGTGTTGAAAATCAAGCCACGTTTTCATCAGATGCCATATGCATCAAGCCCTTTTCTTTATTTCATATGCTTTCGGTGATTAATTTATTTCATATGCTTTCGGTGGTTAATCAAGCTAGTTATTATAATAATAAACAGAGTGTATGCTGATATATATGTAATATATATTAATGTATAGTTAAATATGTAGTGGCCTCGTGGCCTGCTTGTTTGTGTTTTTGGCCTCGTGGCCTCATGGCCTCCATCTGATCATATTGTATAAACCTCCTATATAATGGAGTAGCATTGTAAGGCTTAAAAGATTGAAATAAAAAAGAGTCTATGTTTAGTCTTTCAATCACTCTCTCTCTCTCTCAATATTAATATTTTCATGGTATCAGAGCAGGTGTAATCCTGTCTCGTCATTTTCGCCTCTTCAGTCAATATTCGAATTTTTCTCTTCTACTCAAATATATCCTTCTATTGCATGACTAAATACGGTCCAGCTTTCGGAATGACTATCAACTCATCCTCCTCTTCTTCTGATATTATCATCTCATCATCTTCATCCTCTCATCAAATGGAAACCTCTCATCTTCCGATCACCGCCCATAAACTGAATGGGCAAAATTATTTGCAATGGTCTCAATCCATGTTAATGTTTATACGGGGAAAGGAGAAAGATGACTACATCACCGGAGCCTCGGCGCTACCAGAAACCACAGCATCAACCTACAAAAGGTGGATAGCTGAAAATAATATGGTCATGTCGTGGCTCGTCAACTCTATGACCACTGACATTGGCGAAAATTTTCTGTCATTTGATACTGCCAAAGAGATCTGGGACATGGCAAAAGAAACGTTTTCAGACAAGGAAAACACATCTGAAATCATCCAGCTTGAAAGCTCCCTCCACAATTTACGTCAAGACAATCTTACGGTAACTGAATATTTCAATACCCTTACTCGTCTATGGCGTCAAAACCCAATATTAAATGTTCAAATTCATTTCTTGAATACGTGCTTTATCGCATGTCGTGAATGGAATCATACGCCATACTCATAGCCGAGCCTACAAAAATACATAATGTGTGCGTTGCATTAGTCATATTGCATTAATTAGAAGCATGCATATTTTTCTAATTATTTTGCTTTGTTTTGGCTTGGAGTACTAGGTGAACAATTTTGTGTTTTAGCATATCGCATATGTGTGTTTATGTTACCATGTCCAAGTATGCTTCTATGAGGCTAGTTGCTTAAATGATATAACTGTTTGAATGCCTGTGGATGAAGGCTAGTTGCACAGCTTCTAGTCAAATATTGCCATCTCGTTTAGAATTTCTAGCACAACTGGCACAAGGTAGAAGCAAATATAAGAGTGTGAAAATCACTGCTGTTCATTCAAATCTGTTGGCACAACTGGCTCCCCGGCAGAAACAACCAAGTCAGGGAGGACAACTCTTTCGATATCCCTATTCAAATGAATTGCAAGTTTGCGTATTTCAAGAGTAGTAGTTGTTAATGTGGTGGACAAGTAATCAGTTAGATCAGTTTTGTGTTGGAGATGAATGATCCTAAGAAAATTATTCTTTTTTGCCTCTAATAAACACAGATCCAGCATATGGTGATGAATGCGGCAATAATTGATCTCTTGAGTATGCTCCTCTACTTGTACTTGAACCATGCACCTCTGTGCAAGTGCACCCAAGTAACGTTTTGCCACATCCATTATTGTTTCATCCCCCACTCTATCAGCATCTATAATTATATCGTCAGCAATCCACAAGTTATATAGTCTTTCAGCATCTATCTCAAAATCCTCTGAAAAGTGACCAAAATATAGAAAACATAGCTTGAATTGATCAGGCAAGTCATGGTAGCTTAAAGCTAACACCTCTAATACTCCATCGTAATGTTGTATGGGGTCGTCACTCCATTTACGCGAACGGACATTTTGGTATACCTTCTCCCATTTCCTTACTGTATGCTTTGTTGCCAAAAGTCCACCAAACACAATGATTGCTAACGGTAAACCAGCACATAGCTTTACCATTTCCCTCCCCAATGCCTTCATATTTGTGTCAAGCACTCTGGAGTCTACAAAAACCACAAAATGCCAAATTTAAAAATGACAAAAAAATAGATTATTGCCTAGAGTCTATAAAGCAAAAAAAATGAAAATTCTAATGAATGCTTGTGTTAATAAGCAATAAACAAGGAAAATTTGCCGACTTTTTGAGACCCAAAATAATTTTTTTAACATGGCCTTTTATACATATATAGATAGAAAATTCTAAAGCGAGTTTATAATATGGATTGATTTTTAAACCTTTTTTTTTTTTTTGTTGCAAAATCAAATCGGTTGGTAATTTAAATTTTATTTAAAAATTTTGAACTTTCGTATTCTCAAGTATAAAACTCAAATTATTAGTTGTAAAATTACTAATCAAACTTGTATAATTCAATTTAACAATCAAATCCATTGAATCATTCTTCTGACAAAATTGACCAAAGGTAAGATTTAATCAATTTTAGTTTTAAAAAGTTTATTTCCTAGAAACAACTGTAACAGGGATAGTTAATAACATTCTATACACAAACATATGTTTAGAAAATAATCATCCATTAGTTTTAAATAATTTACTACATCAACAAGTTTTTTTTGTTTATGCTAAGTCTTGTAATAGTTAGGCTTAATTCCCATCAAATACTATTGAAAATAAGTCTTAGTAAAATCGTCGCTAAAAATAAATGTTTGTGATGATTTTTTACATATGTTGCTAAAATTAACAATTAGTGATTTTTTTTATCACGGTTTTTTTAAATTGTCGCTAAAACTTACAATTAGTGAAGTTTTTCTATGACGAATTTTTCAAATTGTCTTTGAAAGTTGAAAATTAGTGATTTTTTTTGTGACGATTTTTTTAAATCGTCGCTAAAACTTATAATTAATGATCGTTTTTGGGACAAAATTTTTAATCTGTCGTTGAAAATTAACAATTAGTGTCATTTTTTAATGGTGTTTGATGAAAAACACCATTAATTATCATAAAACCTATTGGACAATAAGTCTACCTATTAAGACCGACACATAAGTCTTCCAAACAATAATGCTAAGAAACCAATAACTATACCAATGAATTTTTAACTGCAACACACAAATTATATGTAAGTTTCATCATTTGACGTGAGGTCCAACTAACATTGTGTCTAGACCAAAATTCTTTGTTCTCAAAACTATAAAAAATTAAAATGATACACAAAAATGAATTGGGTGAAACTATTTTAAAATTTTATTTTGAGAAAATTCTCAAAATTTTAAACCTTACATAAAAAATGAAAATAATATAGACTTTTAACAAACTGATCTCAAATAAACTTTAACGAATTGAGCTTAAGTAGTATAGTCCATTTTACTGTCCTAATTTTTAACAAAATATTGTAACATAAGTTATTTTCATCTATTATATTTGTTATCTAGACAAATGTAGAGTGTGCATCCCTAAGAACATAGGTGCAGGCAAGTTATGATTTTATGTGATGAAAGTAATGAATATTTGTAATTTATTATGTCCCTGTATGGTAAAATTACCAATAGTGAATAAAAAATGATAAACAAGTGGGTCTAATTTATGTTGTGCATCTTAAAGTTACTAATGATGAAGTTATGACTTTTCACTTTTTTAATGATATTTTGTGGTGAGAAGTTATGACTTTGTGATGAGAAAATTTATAAAATTTAATGATTTATGCTATTTGTAAAATTTTACAGAAGAGTTATGAAGAAGATACCGTATGCACTCTTTTGAGATGCACATTGTAAGATTATAGTATAGGATTGAGATTGTTGACTTATGGACTCACAATCCCATTTTTCATTGTAAATTTTATTAACTGAATTACATGTTAGCAGACATTCAATTTGACGAAATTGACAAATTTTTAATATCGAGAGGAGCGGGGATCATAATTTTAAGTATGAATTAAAAAAACAAAAATAAATATATAATAAATTGTTATCTCACTAATTTTATTGAATAACTAATCCTATACTAATTCATAAAATTATTAATCATTTCGCTATTAATCAATCAGGGCCTTAGTTATTCTTGAATTCTGTACCATAACTACATGGCCCAAGGTATGTATGTATGGTTTGTTTTGTTCTATTTAGTTTTTGTATGAATATTCTACCTAATGAATTCTTAAAAAAAATTAATGATTTGAATTTACCCAAATTGGTCCAAAATGGCCCATCAAAACCAAACTATTCTCTCAAATTGGATTGTCAAATTGAAAGAATTCAAATACGAAGGGAAAGTAGTTTAAGAAAGACATTTGAAATTTTAAAAGCACATATAATTAATTAGATCGTGTAGGATGTTAATAATTACCGTACCTTCGTTTCTTCTCAGAAATGTCTTCTCAAATAACTCCCAACTCTCCTTGTCTGTTAAGTGCCTCAATTTATAAAGCACGCATTGTTGATCTACATGCTTGGCAACATTTTCATTGCGAGTTGTTAGCAATATTTTGCTGCCTACCTCTGTAGTATTTGGGAAGCCTGGACTCAAACTATCCCAATCCGCATCCTTCCAAATGTCATCGAGAATCACCAAACATTTCTTCTCACTTTGGACTTGATGAAGTTTCTTGACTAGGTCATGATGTTTCGACTTTTCAATCTCTTCCCTTTCTTCTTTTGGTGGGGAGAGAAGTTTGATAAGAATCTCTACAAGAACGTCCCTTGTATTGCATTGTTGAGATACATAGGCCCAGGCAACACATTTAAAATGGCGCCTAATTTCAATGTGTTTGTAAACCGTCTTGGCAAGGGTGGTCTTGCCAAGACCACCCATCCCCCAAATGGAAACAACTCTATAATTTGTATTCTCCTTCACCAAAAGATCCACTACTGCTTTTACATCTTCTTCTGTGCCGACAACATCCTCCTCAACAATATGGGTATAGGATCGCCTTAATTGTCGCTGCCTCTCAGCCATAGGAGTTGATGATGAACTTTCTCTAACTCCTGTAGAATTTAGTATTCCACAAGTTTGAAAACCTGTTGTGAGGCTATTGGTGATCCTGTTATTAATAGCCTCAATCTCCAACCTAACCTTACGAAGGGCAAAACATTCCTTGAAGATACACAAATACCTCTTGAGAAGGAAAGGGAACTGTTGAAAATCAAGCCACATCAGATGCCATATGCATCAAGCCCTTTTCTGCTTTCGGTGATTATTTAATTCATTTGCTTTATTTAATTCATATGCTTTCGGTGAGTGTATGCTGATATAGATATAATATATATTAATGTATAGTTAATTATGTAGTGGCCTCGTGGCCTGCTTGTTTGTGTTTTTGGCCTCGTGGCCTCCATCTGATCATATTGTATAAACCTCCTATATAATGGAGTAGCATTGTAAGGCTTAAGAGATTGAAATAAAGAGTCTATGTTTAGTCTTTCAATCACTCTCTCTCTCTCTCAATATTAATATTTTCACTTAGTGTGTCCAATTGTGGTTTGACTTGCAGGAAGCAAAGAAGGTAATGGCAGCTGCTGGAAAGATCAATGTGACGCCACCAGAGGAGAAACCTATAGAGGATGAACTTTTGGTGTATGCCAACAAGCAGGTACTAACATGGTATATGTAGTGTTTATTTTGTTTTTTGAGCCATATGTCCCACAATTTTCCATTAGTTGTCCTCTTTTTTATTTGTTTATTATCTAAATCTTCTGTAATATTTTCAACTTATTCCTTTTCTATAGGAAGCAAGAAATGCATTTAAAGCACTTTTGGAGTCCGTAAATATGGAGTCTAACTGGACTTGGGAGCAGGTATTTTTTTATTTTTTTTTTGACTAGGGCCGGTAATTTGGTTATGCATTTAAAGCACTTTTGGAGACTTCAAATGCATTTACTGTATTGAAATGTAATATCAGGCAATGCGAGTGATAATCAATGACAAAAGATATGGTGCTTTGAAAACTCTTGGTGAGCGGAAATAGGCATTCAATGAGGTAAACATTGTTTGAAATATCTCATGTTACTTTTCAATGTAATCTGCACGAGAATGAGTTACACATCCTCTAATTTCCATTTTCTATTATAATATTATATCTTAAAAGTTTGACAAATATATACTCTTTTCCCTGATTGTCTTTATATTTCGCTAAAGTACCTAGGCCAAAGGAAGAAGCTGGATGCAGAGGAAAGGAGCATGAGGATGAAAAAAGCACGTGAAGAATTCACAAAGATGTTGGAAGTATGTTGCTTATATCTCTTGCATGATCAGTAGAGCTTCAATTACCTCTCATTTTAAAATTATTGATAGCATTATGATTCTTGTTGATATGCTTTCTTATAAAATGATCATTGTTGATATGTTTTTTTTTGGGTCTTTGTATACACAAATCATTTAAATTTTTTCTGCTTTTGATTCTAACCAAAATCAATTTTTTGGCCACAATATGAATTTATATTCTCAAATGATATTAAAGGGATTTGCAGTTATTGTCGAAATTCCATATTCTCTACGATTAAGATTTTCCTAGAAGGTAAAGAAATAGTAAAATCTAAAAATTTATTATCAATTCATTCAATATTTTCTCTTCTTTGTATTTATTACGATCCTTGTAATTGGAATAATCTTATTACTCCTAAGAATCTAGTTTTTTTTTTTTGGAAAAGAAATCAAAGATTATTCTTGTTTCTATGTAATTTTCGTACATGTGAATACGAATCTATCTTCGTTTTTCTCTGGTTCCAATGTTCTTATTTACAATCAATATTGTCTGGAACCTTTCTGAAACGAAGATATTACTATGAAAAAATAGAACGTTTTGTAGACGGTCCAATGGCTGTTCGCCACTGACCACAAGGATATAGGGATAATATTTCATCTTTGGTGCCATTGTTGGAGTGATGGGCACATGCTTCTTAGTACTGATTTGTATGGAATTAGCACAACCCAATGATCAAATTCTTTCCAGGGCAGGGGCCTACCCTATTCGACTGAATTTTGGATAACAAGAAGGCGAGTTAACCTGCTTTGATCAAGGAAAAAGCCCAGTCAGCCACCAACTCAGTTTAGGTCACGTGACCTACTGTTTGGTCTTCGCTTTTGAGGCTTCCTCTACCTGCATCTCTATGTGCCCATAACACTTCCATATGGAGAAAGATAGGCTTACCATAGCATTATGATTCTTGTTGATTTGCTTACTTATAAAATGTTCATTGTTGGTTTTTTTATTTTTTATTTTTTGGGTCTTTTCTTATTGATATATAATGCTTTTTTGTGTTTCCTCCAAGCAGGAGTGTGAGGAACTCAAATTATCCACAAGATGGAGGTAATCTCTCTCTCTTTCTCTAGATTATAGTAATCTTTTTTGAACTATAATACCTAGCTAATTTAAGCTTCTATTTCAAAAATGTGACAAATATCATAAATTTCTAATCAAACCTTTTTGCATGATCAGCAAAGCTGTAAGTATGTTTGAAGAAGATGAATGGTTCAAGGCCCTAGAATGCTACAGAACATGAAGATTTGTTCAAAAACCACTTGGTGGATCTTCAAAAGAAAGTAGTAATTGTTAGCTTGTTACTTCAACTGCCCATATGCACATGCATACGCATCAACAGATACTAGTGTTTATATTTTGTTGATCATTTTCAAGGTTGGCCTATTTATCAAGGGTTAAACCACAGTCACTGTGGCTTTTGAAGTTTAGGAATTGCTTTATGACTAATGAATACTTTGTTTTGGGTTGATGAGCCAGGTTTGTGAGACTGGCTCAGTTTTGTGAACCTAAAGCCATTATACATTATGTTAACAGTTAACAATGTCTAGCAAATTTCAAGAAAGCTATGTGTGGCTGTTGCACGCAATTGGACATTCATCCGGTCATGTGCCTGACACACTGGCGATAAGCATCTGGTTCCCAAACACTTTCGGGATATGACAAAGAAGGATGATGAAGAGACCCGAATGACCCAAATGCAGACCAAGAAGGAGTTGGAGAGAGACCTATCGGCGGCAGGCTTTCTTTCTTTCCTTCTTCTTGAGGCTTCAGTTCTCAGGACTTGAATAAGATTTTTAATGGAAGACTAGATTATGATCCCATGTTTGCCACTATTTTGTAGTTAGCAAACATGGCTGCTCTTCAACCATCCTTTTTGATTGGTGCTGATTTCCATGGGCTCAGTGAATTTTTGTGGGCCTTTTGGAAAGCCTTTCCATTGTCATTTTTGGGGAGCATCATATATGAAGAAAAATGGGAAACAAAATAAAAATTTTAATATATAAAAATAAAAATGTATTAATAATAATTTTTTTTTTTCGTTTTATAAAAGATATTTAACATTTGCCTTGTCCCAATTGTGCCATGTCTTGCATTTTTTGAAAATTGTCATGTTGTGTTATCTTTGCATCATGTGTATTTGTACATGCTTCTTATTGTTAAGATTTGTTATATTTTTGTGTCATGTAGAGATTGTTGATGTGTCTTTTGTAATAAACTGATGATTTTTTATTGTTGTTGCTATCTCCGACTTACTGTTCACATGCAGGAAAAGGAAAAGGCCCAAGAGGAGCATCGACAGAATAGAATAGAGTACAGGAAATATCTAGAAACCTATGGCTTTATCAAGGTAAAGCTTTGTAAAACCCTGATTCATATACAAGCCCGTAACATTCTTTCCTTAAGCAGAGAATAAAATCCTGAATCTTTTATTATGAATTTTCTGTTCTCTACAGGTGAACACCCAATACGTTATGTGGTTTTTACCCATAACATTTTTCCTATACTCTCTCTCTAACTCTCTCCCATATCAGAGAACGATCCAGCCTTTGCACTGTGATTAGAGTGGGTGATACTCATACTGTGGTATCACTCCATTGCTGGGTGTTCTTAGTTCGTGATTAAAGAAGCACATGATTTACCCACAAGGTTCATCGTTTTGGAGGTATGACTTGAATCCTTTTACCTGCTACATTTGATATATCTTACATTGGTATCAGAGCCTCAAATGGGTATTTTCATGCTTATTTTTTATGCATTAAAATGTGTATATAATTATATATATGATATATGCATGAAAAATTAATATTTTTTTTTGAACTTTCTCCGATCAACTTGAAATTTACATATGTTGTAGTATATTTCATGTAGAATATATCTGCTGAGTTTCATAAAAATCCAACGGTCGGATTTTGAGAAAAATAGAGATTCATATTTAATTTTTTGTAACTTTAACTGCATGCTAGTTTTACATGCTTTGTTTTTATATTATGAAAATTACATATTTGGAATTCTTGTTTTGATACCTTCGAAACGGTAAAGCAAATCCTAATTTGGGTTTGTTTTGTATTTTTTGGTGGTTTAAGGAAGAAGATGAAGTGCAGAGTTTCTGCACTTCCACTCTCATTTGAGAGAGAGGGTAATACACCATATTATTTGAGTTAGTTTAATGTCATTTTTTATACCACCATTGATTTTATTTTGAAAAATAGAGTCCAGTAGTACCAAAATCGGACTAGAAAACACCCTAGAAGGCGACACGTGAGCTGCATGCGCCATCTGACGACTTCAGCGCTGCAACGCACGCGCCACGTGTCTGCCATGTGCTTCCACACTCCATCACGCTCGCGTCAGCTATGCTATCCACGCGTGCGTTGTCTGTGTCTTCTACACATGCGTGTTGCGCCGTCCATGTGTGCACCTTGCGTTGCGCTGGGCGCCGACCCGAGCCGCATCGTTTTTTGCACCGGCTTGGCTGGTTTGGTAGCTGGGTATTGTAGACACCCCATTTTTTACCATCCTCAAGACTCGGACGTCATCGTTTGAACACTCGGTGATCATCCATGTTCGTGTTCGTTTCGAGATTCCGAAGGACTCGGCTGCACGCCTTGCCTTAGGATCTCTCGACTTGACTGTTTTGTGCTTGGTTGTGGACTAAGGACTTGTAGTTTTTGCACCTGAGGGTAGGAAGTGGCTTGTTAGCCATCCTTCAAACCCACCGGCCGTGGCATGAAGCCACCGGCCTTGCTTTATTTCTACCGACCAAATATTTGGTCGGTCGGCACGGATATCTGGTCGATCGGCCATTTATTTGGCCGATTCTCTCTTTTTCTGGCCGATACCTCATTTTTGCTTTTTCCAGGCATTATGCATGCCAGCTGTGCCAGCTGGAGTGCACGAACCAATCCTCCATACACGTGTATGGAGGATTTGCACCCTTTGTACCCTTTGCTCTAGCTTCTTGAGGAAGCTTGACCCTTTGTCTTAGCTTCCTCAAGAAGCTTGGACCTTGTCTTGGCTTCCTCAAGAAGCCTTGACCACTTTGCTTTAGCTTCTTCAAGAAGCTTGCCCCCCTTGACCCCTTTTGTTTAGCTTCTCTAAGAAGCTTAGGCCTTTGTCTTGCTCTATAAAAGAAGGCCTCTCTTCTCCTTTGAGGAGGTTCAACAAATCAGAGATATATATGTCATATATATCACTCTCTCTATATATATATCTCTCTCTCTACATTTGTGTGTGTTGGAGTGTCCAAAAGTGAGTTTTGTTCTTAGTTTTGCACTAAGACACCTAGTGTTACACCATACCTTGGTTATTGAGGTGTTGAAAGGTTGTTTTTGGAGCTTTTGAGTTGGTTTTGATCAGAAAAGGGGGCTGCAGTTTTGGTTCTTGAAGTGTTCTTCAAGGGTGAGCACTATTGCTTTATATTTCCCATTCTTGCACTAGCTTTTAACCTACTTTGCATGCTGTTTTGAGCTTTGTGTATAACTGATAAAAGTTCTAATTTTTCATGTTTAAGAAGTTTCATTGAGGTCATTTTTGTGTTTGGGGTTGACCTCCCCCTCTTAGGCCTTGTTTGCTCTCTTTTGTGCCTTCTTTGTTGAGCTTTGGGAACTTTCGTGTATTGGCCTTCTCGCCACTGAAATCTAGAGGATATTCAGTGGTGGTGAAGGGGTTTTGAGGTCTTGCATAGGGGAGGGACACCCCTCTTCCCTTATGTCTCATAT